AAGAGCCCGGCCGTGCCTATGCCCGCGACGGCGCGGCCGACAATGAAGGCGTTGGACGTCGGTGCCAGCGCGCACACCAGGCTGCCGGCCTCGAAAATGAAGATGGCCGCCAGATAGATGTACTTGACGTTGAAATTGCGATACAGCGACCCGTAAGACGGCTGGAGCGCCGTGGTGCTCAGGAGATATGCAGACCCATACCACCCGATATCGCCAACGGTGCCATATTCGCCCGTGATGGCGCCCAGGGCCGGCGCGATAATGGTCTGGTCCAGTGCCACCAAGAACACGGCCAAGCAGAGAGAAGCGATGATGGTGACCAGCTTGACGCCATGGGGGTAGACGGTCAGGTCCTCGCCACTAGCGGGCGATGGGGCCGCTGCCGTTGTCGTTGCGGTTGGGGTTGGGGTTGGGGTTGGGGTTGCCGTTGCCGTTGCCGTTGCCGTTGCGGTTGCCGTTGCCGTTGCCGTTGCCGTTGCCGTTGCCGCCGGGGGCGAGACCGGCCTGGGCGACTTCTTCTCCGGCTCCGTTTTGGAATCTGATGGATCCGCCATATTTGTTTCGCTTTTAATATGGCCGGTGCGGCGACCCAGGGGGGCCGGGTCTTGGCAGGATATTCAGGCCGTGCAATGCGTATTTTTGTAATGCGGCTGTTTAGCCGTCGATGTAGTGTCGAAAAAGGGGGTCTGCGAGTCTGACAATATTCCCGGTTGAAGAGTTTTCGCCACCTCCTTCTTTTCTTGGCCGTGGATGTTAAACAACAACAACAACAACAACAAAGACACCCACAACCACAGTATGGAAGAACCTTGGAGTAGACTGAAGTCTAACTCTCAAACAAAAATGCGCTGGCTTTTCTCCCTGTTTGTCATAGCATGCATAAGTGTGACCAATTATCGAGCGGTGTTGTCGACGTTAACAAGTCTTTTCCCCGTCTCTCCCTTGCGCGGCGACTAAACGCAGGTTCTGAGACAGGCCGAACTAGACGATATATTAATGAAGGGATTTTTGGAGGTATAAAGAAATATCAAAGAAGCTGAATCAAGTATAATGGGGAATTTGTAGGATATAATGTGAAGCGATAGACTACGCCGACGAAGGGACGAGGGTCGGCGAAAGGCTAGGACAAAGAGTCCACAGAAGGCAAACAGGTGAAACGGCAAATTGGTTGTTGAAAGACGCACGCGCGCCCGAGAGAATTTGGCGAGGGAGCGTCGAAGGGAAGAAGAAGAACAAGAAGGGGAGTCGTTTTCGTCAACAACAATATCGCAACGCTGCCCTTCTCCATTTTTCTTCCCTCTTCTCGACTCAACTACTCCCGATCCCGAGGACCGTTTCGCTAATATAAATGGTCACCAATCCTTGCACACCATCGTCGGTTTAGGTGTGCATCTGTTCCAGCAGGAGATACGACCTTAGCTTCATGGACTCACTCTATGTAGCAGGCGCTCCAGCCTGTGGATAGGTTCTCCTCTTCCTGGAAAGCGGGATACCAGCCGCTAGGAAGGGGGTCAAGGCGGGAACGTTCAAGAGAACAAACTCGGCTTTGGGTTCGGAGATTGCAGCACCCGAGCACCGAGCGCCGAGCGCCGAGCATGTCTGTTTACTTCTGGTCATGCATTCATTATATGGAAGACAATCAAAAAGTAGAAGAGTCGAAACAAAGTAATATGAAAGGCAAATATTCCCCGGGATGCGGACTCGAAATGATATCCCCGAGAAGATGCTCCCTGGCAAACTCAATTTGCCTACCTCATATCCTCCTCAACAAGTGCCGTCTTCAGCCTTTGATCAGACCGTCAGTACCGGCTGGGGTTTCAACATTGTAAAAGAAGCCCGCCAACTCAAGTACTACCTAACACGGTTCAACCAACGGCTCATACCTAGATTTTCCCCACCGACCTTGGGAAGGGACAAGGCTGTGAGTTGAGAGCTGAGAGCGGCAGTTGCCGTCGACTGTTGGCATACCCAGGTAACCCATCTCAACTCGGTGCTCGGCATGTCGTCCGGAGTACGGTGCCGTGCCACGTAGTCAAAAAGAAACGACCAGTCATCCCAACAGCATACGTAATACTGTAAAACCGTTGGATCGACTGTCCGACATGCAAGGCTTACCGCGCAGCCGGCATTCCGTACAGTGCACATAAACTCGCGCCGGATGCACCGTACAAGCACTTTACGACACGCCATGCCCGGGCGCTCACAGTTTCACAAAGTGCCCGCAGATGCGCCCATGGCATGTGAGCACCACGGTCCCACGAGCATGCTTGATGAAACACACGAGACTGATGACGGATGCAAATGTCCACTGGCCACGTGCTAACGATTGGGTAGACAGCTGCGGCGCAAGCACTTCGTGACAGCGCGAAGTCACTCTCTCGAAACCGTTTGAGAGGCGTGGAATACGGGCGACGCAATGTCTTTGCGCGGCACAGAACACCTTCATCTGGTCTTTAGCTCATTCATCCAAACAAGCACGCGCAACATATGCTAAGAGGTAGAGAAAATGACGAGACCAAAATAGAAACAGCCCTCTTGACATAGCCTCGCCGCTCTTAGCCTCGCCGACGATAGAGATCGCTGCCGATGGAGATCAACCGCCAGGATGAACTACCGAAACTCAGGGGTCAAGGTAAAAAAAACAGTAATAATAATATTTGCTGGCCTGCTTCGGTATCTCGTTTGGAATATCCCATCATCACAATCGTTTAAAATCCAATTTCATCTTTCCCTGGTCTTCGCCTACTTGCTTGTCTCGTCGAGGGCGTGCTTTTCGTTTTGCTTTGGCCAAACCCTTTCTTCGAATCCGGCTTCCTTTTACAGGGGCCTAGGCGCGTTATTTGCGATTGCGCGTCTTCTTCTGTGTCTGGGACGTGTCCTCCTCAACCTCGTCTGCGCCCTTCTTGAGGTCCTCTGTCAGGCCCCATTCCTCCTTGTCGTACCAGTCTTCGCCGTCCGACATGTCGCGGTTGGCCCCCGAATGGGCCTCTGACTTGGCCCACTGCCATATCGTCTTGCGGTAGCGGTCGGCTTTGAGAAGACCCTTGTACAGCGCCCTTGTTCCTCGGCATACTTCCTCTTGCTTCTGCACGTAAAGCTGTAGTAGCCGCCGCACATCCTCTGCCTCCTGCTCTGGGAGGCCCAGGTCCCGGTCTGGCTGCGCCGAACGTGGAGCCAAAAATAGTGGATGGATCAAGAAATCATCCGGCGAACCCGTTTCGCTAGCTGCCTCGGCCATTTCCGTATCGTTTTGACCGTCGACTGCTGGCATCTTGCCGCCCTTCCCGCCCTCGCGCGGGCGTGCATGGCCATTGACCTGCGTCTTGTCCTCTAGCTTTTCTTTGCTAGAACTCGCACCTCCCTGCTCTCTGGCTTCACTGGTATTGCTATCGGCTTTTCCCGGTGGCCTCTCTCCGTTGGTGTCGTCTTTATGTTTATTTCTGACCGCCTCTCCGTCCGTCATCTCATCGTCAAAAGCATTATTTCCAGTGTGACTAGGCTCGTTAGTGCCATCGATATGATGTTTTGGTCTCGAGTCCTGGCGTAAAGAGCCACTAGATGAGTCCTCGTTTGCGTTTGGTATAGCGTCCGCACCGATCGGGGAGGCGCGGCCCCTGAGGAAGCTGGCCGTGTTCGTGAATAGCTCTTGATCGTTGGGCTGGATCATGACCCCGCAAGGCGCCCAGGTGTTATCGCCGATAAGCTTAGTTAGGAGAGGCTTAGCTTTCCATAGCGCCGCGTTTTCCTTTTGCATTAGACCCGAGGCCTGCTTCACCAGGTCCGGCAGTGCTTTAGAGATGTAAGGGCGCGAGAGAGTCGGGTGGTTCGGCAGGTCAGTGACAGCGGTCAGGGGGGCAAGAAGTTCTATTTCAGATCAGTATCGCGCCCTGCAAGCCAAGAAGAAATAGACAACGGGAAGGGCACCGACGTTCTAAGCGTATGGACGAGTAGGGGTTCTCCTCCATGGCCGACGCAATGGCCTCTTGAATATGCTCCTCGTTGTCATCGCTGTCCAGCTCGTACCCCTCGTCGTCAACGAGCGGGGGGTTGTGATTTATGATGGTGCGTTGGTAGCCAGCGTGTTCGGCGACCTTGGTCATCGGTTAGCTCGGACGTGGTTCGGGGGGGTGGCCGACGAAAGCCAAATGGGACAGAACGCACATCTTTGTAGGCAGCAGCACCTGTCGAAGCCGCAAGCCGGCCCTGACGCACGAATCTTGCTCTCTTTTTTAGCTTGTAGCCTCGGTTGGTGGTGTGATCGATGGACGAGTCGGAATCTGAGTCTGTCACGGTCGAACACGCCGGTTAACGTCAAGCCTAATAGAGGAACGTTTATGCTTGGGAGATTACCATATGCCTTGCGCTTCAGGGCTTTCCTGATGGCGACGATAGTCTCCATGACCATGGCTTGCTGTTGAGTCGACATGATGAGTTGGCGAAAGGGCGCGAGCACACTAGGGAAACGAGAGCGAGAGCGTCGTCTTGAGCCGGGAGGAACAGGAGTTTGTAATAGCGTCGAGGAAGGAGAGGGTTGGATGAGGTCTTGGGGGACTAGATGGTGTTATGCGACATGTGTCGAAATAGATGCTGTCCAGTCCAGTGCGGCTGCAATGGGCTGCCGAACAGGTGTAGCCGTGCCGAATTTGGGGACTGAAGCATTCGCGCTGAGAGAGGGGACGACATGGCCTGGCTGAGCATTGTGACGGGCTCCAGGTGCTGAATGCGCCCTCTAAAAGGCGGGAAACGACGGCACAAAGTGGGGCGGTCAATTACATAGTAACTCTGGGCCTGCATTGCATCTGGAGACGGCAGAATACTGGAAAGCGGGACTCCCAGGTTGGTATTCCGTACGGTACTTGTTATGCGCAGAAAAAAAAACCAAATGCACGGAGCTAGCAACATTGGGATATCTATGCAAGAAGGGGGGCTAAAGCATGAAGACTGGATGCAAAAGTATAAAGAACCAGAATGATCAATTCATAAGATTAAAAATCAATTTGCATCCGACGTGGGACTCGAACCCACAGCCTCAAGATTCAGTGTTATAAAACATCCAATGGTAGAAGTCTTGCGCGCTACCATTGCGCCAGCCGGACTGAGCTGAATTGATTCGTTGGCGAAAAGTTACGGTCTATGAAGGGCCTAAGCCTTTAGGGGGAGAAGTAACAGGGATCCAGGAACCGTTGCGTCATTCTTTCAGCGCCCAAGCTCTCTGAGCCGCAGCACCCGCTCCACTAATGCGCCCCCCCACACTCTGGAACAGCCCAGTATCCGTACATACATCATCGTTAACCTGCAGCTTGCGACGTCCGCGCAGTCGCAGCTCTCCCGAACTTAGCTTCTCAGGGGAGTCATCAACGCAACCAAGCGCGTACCAATCAACTCCACCACCCACCATGGCGACTGACGACGGAGGCGCCATGTTTCCCGGCGGCGGCGGCGACGGCGGCGGCGTCAAATTCGAGCCGTCGATGCTGAACAGCATCTTCACGGCCCCAAGCCTGCCCTTTTGGGCCCTCGCCTCGGGCTTCACCAATCAATGGTACCAGACCCAAATCAGCGATGCTGTCCGGTACGCCGCCATGGCAATACACCGTCCGCTGGACGTTCGGGAGGCCAGGGCCATAGCCGAGCACACGGCCACCGGCTTCCACCTGCAGGCCACATACGAGCCGCCGATTTGGATCGCCTCGGCGTGGTTGATGGAGCGCCGCTATCGCGCCACATTGCGCCTCCCCTTCTGGAAGCCCGACCCAGCCAAGTACAATATATCCTCCTTCCCGAGCATAGCCAAGCCCACCCTTGTCGGGCCCCAAGCCCGCTTGGCCTGGATAGCCATGCGATTCATCGTTTACGGAGGCGTAACCCACTACGCCATCACCGGTCCTCTCATATTTTTCTGGGGACGCGCTGTCACCATGGCGGGCTTCCTGGGCGATGACGATCTCCAAGAGTTCCGCGAGAAACTAAAGATGCAACAGGCACAGCGGGCTGGCGGCTTGATTTCTGGAATGGGCGAGATGCCACAGAAGCCCCAGCAAGACGAAGAAGAAGGAGCAACATACTCGTCATACGGCGGCGCCTCAGAAGGAACCAGTGCCCCGGCACCTCGAAAGTCAGCCTGGCAGGCGCGCTGGGAAAACACGCAGAGACAGAAACAGGAGGCGGAGGTGCGGCGCCGTGCGCAGGACGACGACGACGCAGACCTGTTTGACGACGCCTCCCCAGTCGCCCCGTCCGCTCCTCCGGCCGCGGCTTCGAGCGCCCCGCAGACAGGGTCCGCGTGGGAAAGGCTCAGGAAGAATCCGGCGGCGGAGGCCGGCGCATCACAAGGCTGGGCAGCTCGGCGCCAACAGCAGCAGCAAAATTCTACCAAGGACGACGAGTATGTGTACTCGACGCAGGACCGAAATACCGCCAGCGAAAAGGAGAAGGCGCAAAGGGAGTTTGATGCGATGCTTGAACGGGAGAGGACTGGCCAGGGGAGCAACTCACGCTTCTGAAATGGGCGGCGGGGTTCTGGACTCTTGTGTAACTAACTAACTAACTACCTACCTAGGTACCTGACATAGGTGACTGAGGTTACTCGCGGTTCAACCGTGTGTATCATCGATTTTTTTGATTTTTTTTTAATTTTTTTTGCAAATTATCGTTCCCCTTTCCTGGACATCAGGTACAATCACGGACAATGTGCTGTAATGACACGCAGCATTCACTAACTCTTGGTGTACCCTTACCTTATACGGTTTCCCGTGGCGATCTGGCAGCGCCTTGAATGTAAACATTGCCGACGACAAGGTTGAATGTCTGTTACATTCAGGAAAATAACAAGTTACCCGTTCGCTTTGATTATTAGCTGTGTTTGTTTCTAAATAATCATGTCAAACACAAACTACACCCACTAAGAATATTAGGGGAGAACCGCAAATAACTACCCCCTAACCTACGGAGTGGGAAGAGGGAAAGGGGGTGGAGACAGCCAACACACATCCAAACAGCATACCACCCAGAACTTACCTAGTCAAGCCAAAATAATCAACAAATAAAATAAAATAAAAACGTAACGACACCACACTTGGGCCCTTTCTATTCACCCATCTACCAGCCCGCCGGCCCGGTCTGTGCTCCGTGCTGTGCTGTGCTGTGCTGTGCTGTGCCGCCCAAAGGCACCCCGGGTGGTTTCCGAAGGGTAGATGATGAATGCCGTAGATCGCGTGCTCGGGCACGCCATCATTCAAGGATGCTAGGCGAATCCATCCAAGTATCTCCGCGGGGCGCCTGTTTTTTTGTTTCTAATACCTACAAATAAATGTGTGCATGTCTGCTCTGTCTGCCACGTCCACATCTGTCTAGTCCGTCTCTATTCTAACCTCCTTCGTTTCCCTCACAAGCCACCATCGTGTAAGTAGAGCAAGTGATATCACGAGTGCCCCGTGCAAACACAATATCAGGTGTTGGCAGGGCACAGTCGATTCAACGAATGGCTTCTTTTTCGTCTTATTCTTCGTTTTTCCATTTCAGCCTGTCCCGACGCCTCATCCTAACGCAACGCTTCTCCCATCCTGACTTTCAACGACATCAACTCACTTCAATATTGCCCGCCGCAATCTCGGCCGCATCCACAAGGAACACAATCAGTATATATTCCAGAAAAGATTCGTTTCATTAATTCTTTTTCATTCATTCGTTCTACCTCATCTTTATCCTTGCACCCTCCCACTTCAGTCTGCCATCCCCGCCATGCCCGCCGTAGCCGAGAAGCCGTACATGCCTTCATCACTGGATTCGCTGCCGCCACCGCCTCGTGGGCTACGGGGGCTATGCATGTTGCTGGCCTCGGCACTGATGGGCAGATCGCCGCCATAGTTACCGCTGTTCTCTACAATGCCGCTCAGGTTACTCCAGCTCCCTCCTACTCCCACTCCCATACCCGTCCCCATCCCGCCAAACCCCCCTCCCGTGCTCCCCCCCAAGGCCAGTATGCTCTGGCGCCTCGCCGCATCAATGTCCGCAGCACTCCCGTGGCGACTGAGCAGTGGCTTTTCGGGCAGTTGCTTAAGCAAGCCCGTGGTGATGTCGAGCATGCCCATGGCAAACTCGGTGAGACCCTTGCCCTCGCCAGGCTTGGAGCTGACGGACAAAGTCCACCTATACTCGCCAAGGCGGCGGCGGTACCATTCGGCCTCCTCGCGGCCAGGCGACGTAGCCCAGAGCAGCGAGCCAAAGGTACCGATGAGGGCAAAGTTCGTCTTGGATGCAAAGTACCAAAATGCGCGCAGATGAGAGGGCGTCAGGCGGTTGACAAAGTCCATGGCCGAGATGAGACGCGCCTTGGCCGCACTGCGACAAATGTGCTGGATGTACGGGTCTATTGTCGCCCCTACTGCGACACCGCCGTCGATGGAGCGGATAATTCGGCGATGGAGCGTTATTTCTGTGGCGAAATAGGCTAGGTGGAGGTACCCGATGCTCGAGAGCCGGGCCGTGATCGTGCCTCCTCCAGTCGTCGGCGACGATGTACCGGTACTGGAAATACCACCGCTTTGAAACGTCGAATCCATTCGAATCGCTGCGGGTATTGCGCCGTACCACTCCTTCAACTTGAGTTGGATCGGCTTAGCTAGCGAAAGCACCAGTTGCGTCCCCTGAGGACCGGCGTTGACCACAGCCTGCGTCGCCTGCAGTGTGTAAAATGTTTCGAGGATCTCGGCGAGAATTTGCGACAGCTGCACCATCTGAATAAATAGCGTACGCCCGCGCTCAATTTCCAGTCTCTCTTCGACGTCGCTCTCGTCCCACTCTACGTCGGGGAAGTCGTTCTGCGTCAAGGCTTGCACCGCCCAATTGGATGAGAAGATATGTGACGGCCGACCGTGAACGAGAGCACCCCACTTGTCTTGCATATACAGGGACTATACACGTTGCTTGTATTAGCCTTATCCGACCGAAACAGAATGAGGGTCTGGGTGGACGCGGTATAACATACCCATGCCAGTCGTTTTCTCAACCCCTTCTCCCAAGGCGGAATTTTCCAGCTGGAGCAGTCCAGGTGCAGACCAAGCTCTTGGCCGATGGCCACGAGCTGTGCTGTTGGTGCCCATTGATCTCCCTCGGGCCGCTGAGACAGGAGAAGGCCGGCCTGTATTGTGGAGAGCTTGGGTCGATACATGGCGTCGGCCAACGTTGTCCGAACCAGCCTCTCGAGCTCGCGCACATTGGGGCGTGGCAAGGAGGCCAGCTCCTCCGAGTGTTCCCACCAATTGATGGCTAGGATGTAAATGGCGGCAAGGAGCGGCGGCGAGAACTCACGGTAAGAGCGCTCATACTTTTCGAAAAAGACTGTCTTCTGAATGATGGGAAACCCGGGGTGCACCACACGGAAGTATAGGTCTATCAACTGGCGGCTGTGTGGCGCGACAATTCTCTCAATCTCATCCACGTCGTCCAGGACATGTTCAAATCCAGGCGTGTTATAGTCGGGGAGCATGAGAAACGTTTCATTGTCACTAACTCTCCTGAGAGTCCCGCGAGTGAGCAGGCTCTCGTCGTGTGGGTCGAAGGACGAGAGGTTGATAAGAGAAGGCTCGAAATCCGTCGTCGGTCCTATGTATTGGCTGTACCTGTCCGACTGGAGGCCGAGGGTGCGCTTCAGGAGCGTCGGGCCGCCAAAGTTGGCCATCTCCTCAATTAATGAGCTACTAGCCGTGGTGCTGGAGTAACTGAGCTGCTGGTGCCTCCGCCTCCTGTTATCAGACCTGCCAGGCGAACTGCATCGGCCAATCACATGTCAGAAAACCATGTGTCAAGTGTCTGCAGCCGGCATTGGGGTATGCATAAATGGAGAGCCACGGGACAGAGAAATGTTGGAAGGGGGGAGCGGCAATATGCAGGGTCGTTCTGCCTCTTGCTCTGATATATGTGTTTCTTGGAGGGGGGCGAATAAAAAACAGGGGGGAGTCAAGCCCTCTCACCTTCTTTTGCTGTTGCCGTCGTCGGCTTCACCGTTCAGCTTCCTTTTCCGCGGGGGCGGGCTCTCCCTCAACGAGCACTCAGTACCGTTCACCAGACAGGCGATACAACTCTCCTCCTCATCGCT